AAAAAGGAATATAATTTGGTTTAACCCACCCTTCAATAAAAGCGTCTCCACCAATGCTGGCCAAATCTTTTTGTAATTAATAGATAAACATTTCCCACCTTCAAACCCATTGCATAAACTATTCAATCGAAATACTACAAAAATTAGCTACAGCTGCTCAAACAACATTTCAAAAATTATATAAAGCTGCAACAAAAAAATAAATTTAATTAACACCACTGAAAAGTTTGTACGCAACATAGATGTACTAGTACAAAATATTCCTATTGGTATCCTTTTGAGCGGAGGTTTAGCTGCCCTTACCACCTTAGGTAAACACCTTGCGGCAGGTAGAGATACCTTTGAGTCATTTAGCTGCCAAAAGGTAAAGGTACACGGAGAAGATATACTGACAGGAAATGTAATAACTATAATTAAAAACTGGCAAAGCCCGCACATTAACCCGTTGCCAAGATATCAAAATGTTGATGGATTCACACTACGCTACAAACATTTTTACAAACAGTGGTTACCCATGAAAAAGAAAAGAATGACACAGATGTTTTAATTGACGACGAGCAAGATTTAAATTTTAATTTTGACGCCTATGATATCTTAAGTTGTGCGGAGAAGAAATCATAAGAATTTTCTTTTATATTAATTTACTTTGCGTTTTAAAATATTTTCTACTTTTTTAATTTATTTTTTTCTTTCTGTTCTCAAATCAGTATAATTTTTCGATTCTTTTACTTTCTATTTTAAAACGCACGTTCTATTTTTAATTAAGCGCATAAGCTGTGGTAATCCGTATTGTTGTATTGATCCGTATTGAGCTACAGCTCAATCCGTATTGAGCTACAGCTCGCGCTTTTGTGTAAAATGTTATGGTCCAGTGCGTCCATCTGTTCGTATTACGTCATTTCAAACGAAAACTCGTGCTATAAGGTTTATGTGTTTGTTTTTTTTGAGTCAGGCTCTAAAATTATTATATTTATGTTTAAGGTATACAAGTTTTCAAATTAGGAAAGCCTATCCTCTCCATCTATTAATATTTTAACATGCAACATAAACGGTCTAAACGACCAAACAAAACGCGACAGTTTTTTTGGGTTTTTTAAAAAAATCTTCCTTCGAGCTCATTTTCCAACAGGAAACACATTTTGGACCATCCACTGTTAAACAGTGGGGAGACGAATGGACTGGTGAGTCCATTTGAAACTCCGGTCCAAGTCATAAATATTGCGGGGTGGCGATTCTCCCTAAATCCATTATATCTTTAAACGAACTAAAAAGGGAAAAAAACGGAAGAATATTATCTATCTAGTTTCATAATGTCAATAGATCAAGAAAAGGCGTTTGACAAAGTCGATCGCGCGTTTCTCCTGCAGATTATCCAAAAATTTAACCTCGGAGAAAATTTTGTATGCTTCATTGACACCCTATATTCAGAAGTTTCGGCATCTGCTCTGAATTGCGGTTTCTTGTCAGCCTCCTTCCCTATCGAAAGGGGAGTTAGACAAGGCAACCTTCTCTCTCTTTCGTTGTATGTCTTTGTCGCCGAAGCTCTCGCTTTGGTGATCAGAGCAGACAGCAAAATTGAGGGTTTCCCACTACCAGGAACACCAAAACTCCTTAAATTACAGCAGTACGCAGATGATTCGAACTTTTTTGCCAGGGACGTAAAATCAGTCCGCTTTTTTTTCGAAACAGTAAAACTATTTAAAAAAGCAAGTGGTTCAGTGATCAATGCCTCAAAAACCAAGGGTCTCGCTCTTTTGATCCTAAAATGTACCCAGAATTAGGCAACATAGAGTGGACCAATAACACCGGTTTCAAAAATTTTGGGTGTTACTTTTTACACCAGACTGAGTAATACTACCAATTTTAACTGGCTAGTAACTCTAAACAAAATAGAGAAAAAACTCAAGTTTCTGGGACTACGTACTTTGTCACTTTGCGGAAAGACTATGTTGATATATGAGTCTTTTCTATGTTTTGTAGTACTGAGACATAGTAGGTAAAAAAAGGTAGAGGTAAAAAAGTGTCTCTCTTTTGACCGGATCGAAATTGGTCTTTTGCCACAGATTTTCGAAAATGGCACTGTGTAAACGTTCTCTTACCCATTCGGGAACGGGCAGTACGTTTGCCAGAAACCACACTTTTGACATTGCTAACGTAGTTAGCAATGTCAAAAGTGTGGACGTTAGAACGTTTAATAAGAATTGAATAGAACGTTTACACAGTGCCATTTTCGAAAATCTGTGGCAAAAGACCAATTTCGATCCGGTCAAAAGAGAGACACTTTTTTTACCCGTCAAAAGCGGGGGTTTCGGAATTTTATCACCGAAGGAGCAAAGCCTTGCACTTCGCCTCAAAACACTCTTTCAACTGAAAGAATGCGGAGAGGATAAAACTCACGATTACTACTAGTTTTCAAAGTACTGGTTAGCAAGTTCACTTATAAAGTTTACTAACCAAAACCAAAGCTGGAATTTTTTGTAACAGAACAATTTTCCAAAACACTGGGACAACCAAATGTCTCAGTACTACAAAACAATAATTGAAATATTCTGCGGCCTTGCTAGCCAAAAGCACAAGGTAACAGATTGTTAAAAACAACAAATGCAAAACTTGTGGTAAAGTCGAGGACAATCTTTACATCTTTGTCTACTGTCCTCCCTCTATTGAAATATGGGAATATTTTAAACATGTATATAACTCCTTGACATCCAAAAACAACTTTTTTCCGATAAATTCGATTTTTTTTATTAAAACCTCGAATTTATCGGAAAAAAATCCTACATTGCAGCTGCTGCTGACACTCACTCAAACCATAATGAGTGAGATATGGAACAGCAGATGCCACCACATGTTCAACAATTCCAAAATCATCCCTATGGCAATGATCAGGGTAATAATCAGGAACATCAGGAATATTATTACCTTAAAATATAATTACCGTGTCCGTAGAAACACTACGGACATTTTTTGTCAACTTTTCTGTATTAAAAATGTTTTTTGTCAAGTAGAGAACGGGAATCTGAAAATAAACATATGAGCTAAATAAATACACCAGCTCATCGCAAAAACTATATGTTTAGTAAAGGTTTCCCTTTCACTGCAAATTATTATTTTCACAACAAAATATTTTTAATTATGATTAAATAAATAATCCCTGCCAGCCATTATTTTATCACTTATAATTTCCTATTTTAAATGTATTTTCTGTAGCGTTCGTAACGTAAAAAAACTTTGCACAACCTTTTTCAAATATCTAAAGGCGAGTTTCCACTCATCCGTTTTTCTACGGGAACGGGGTATGAAAGGAAAAAATAATTACGTGAGCATGCGTAATAAAAGATTTTATTTGTCCGAGAATGCTCACGTGATTATTTTTCCGTTCCCTTTCCCTTTTCCGTAGAAAAATGGATGAGTGGAAACTCACCTTAACTCTTCAACCTTATCTAATTTCTCGACTTTTCTCCGCACAACGGCACTTTATCAAAAAAAACAACAAAAAAACAAAAATTAAAAAAAAATAAAATCAAAAAACACAAAAAATTATATAATCAAAACATACAAAAAAATATATATAAAAAAAAAGGAAAAAAAAAAATATATATATATATATATATATATATATATATAGCGTTTTTTTAATTTTGTATATATAGACAGCGTATATATAGTATATATATTTCGTATATATAATATATATAGTATATACGTATACATAGTACATATATATACGTATATATACGTATATATAGTATATATATTTCGTATATACAGACAGCGTATATATAGACAGCGTTTTCTAATTTTCCACTTGCATTAAACTCTAAAAAAATACCAATAATATTACAATTTATTTAACAATGTATAGCTTCTTTAGTTTTTATTTCAAACAAAAAAAAAATTGCTTTTAAACTAACAATGCTCTTTTTTATCAAAAATAAACCGTAAGAAGATATAAATAATTTAAATTTCTTTTTATCTAAATTTAAAAAAATATATAAATTTATGTGCAAAAATAACATCCTCCTAATGAGAATTATCATTTCTTGTTGAGTAATTTTTCTATTTTGCTAAATAATGCATATCATATTTAAAATACTTCACCTTATTAGTTGAACAACATCAAAATAAACCAATACACTTTAATTGTTGGTTTTTTCGATTTTATTATTTAGATTTTTTAAATATTAGTTTTTTTTGAAGGTTGAATAATATTAAGATTACTCCTATATATATATATATATATATATATATATATATATATATATATATATATATATATATATATATATATATATATATATATATATATATATATATATATATATATATAAATAATTATTAAAATAATTATTAGCTACTTTAATTGATGAAAATAATAATAATTTACATGCAAAAAATTTTTTTTTTTTTAATTATATTTATATAATAACCAGAAGAAAAAAAACTTGCATAAATAAATTTGAATTTCACACACACACACACACACACACACACACACACACACACACACACACACACACACACACACACACACACACACACACACACACACACACACACACACACACGCGCGCGCACAATAAATAATTGTTATAAAGGGAAAAAATGATGCTTTTGTTGCAGCATTGAAAATGACGCATATATTGTAGTAACAAAATAGACCCTCAGTAACAAAGTGGACCCTCATTTTTCAAATTATTGTGAAAAAATAAAAAAACTTGTTTATATCTAAATATAATACAGGAAGGACAACCATAAGGCTGCCGGATCTATAACTGTCCTTAGTAACAGTAGTTATCGGCATTGTTTTAAGTTTAGATCCGCATAGAATTAATACATTGCATAACATACCAAAAATAGTGAAAAATACTATAAGTTAATAATATTCTAAATTAAGTTACTGATAGCATGATATCACTACATAAAGTTACTGATAGCATGATTCATTACATAAAGTTACTGATAGTGTCGTATCACTACTCTGCTAAGTGTAAAATTTAACAATTACTTAATTGTTTATGATAAGTTAATAAGTTGAGTTTTCAATTTTTTGAGATAAATCTATTAAATTTAATTTATAAAGCTTGTCAACTATTCAGTAATGCGATAATTATCAAAAGCATTGGCCTTGTCAACATTAGATTTTGATTATAGTAATAGTAGTTGTAGATAATCATCAAGGTATTAGCCTTATTTGCACTAGCTTTTAATTGTAGCTTTTATTAAATGTAGCATAAGTTATTGAAAATAAATCTAATAAATTTTTCTTGGTAAAATATTATTGTTTATTTATTTGGTAATTTATTAAAGATAATGTTTTTGTATAGTTTTGATAAGATATACATAGTATATTATTTAATTTTTTAAATATTGTTAACAATTTAAAATTAGAACATTGTATAATGCATTATATTTTATGATTATTTTGGTTTAATGATCATTACAAAATGATCATTTTATAAAAAAAAGTGTTTCATTACACAATATATTAAAGGTTTATGTTATACAGAAATATTATTGTTATTAAAATAGCGCTTGAAATAAGTTTTTTTTATTGTGAAGAAAAAGATATGGAAACTCAATTATCTATGTTTGTATCTTTGAAATAATGTTTGAACTTATACATGCATTATGATTTATGCAATTATTTTGCATGTTTAAGACTTAGACATGCAAAATGATTGCATAAGTAATCGGAGTATACACAACATAAATGGTTGAAATAATTTTAAATGCAAAAAAAATCTAAACTCAATATGTTTGCACATGTTAAAGTGCAGCTGAATGCAACTTAAATTAATTTGCATTAATTTGCACTTTAACACGTGCAAACATACTGAGCTTAGATTTTTTTTGCAATTTAAATTATTTTAACCATTTATGTTGTGTATAAAATCCAGATATGTAGCTTCAAATCATATAAAAGGTTAAATATATTTTAAAGATGAACATCATATTATTTGTTAATAATCTTAGTGACATAATAGTTCTAGTTTGTTTATCAAAAATTTAAAAGTCTTTTTGTGTATCAATATTTGTTTCTTGTTAAATAAATAGAAAAATGAATTAACAAAATAAATAAAATTTAAATAAAAGTTTAAACATTTGGTTATTAAATAGATTGTCTGCGTTTATTTGTACATATTGGACATTTTAATCAGATATGGATTCTGTCGGAAGTAAACCAGAGTATGTGCAATTTTGTTTTGTTTTTCATTTTCATTTTACTTGTGTATTTTATTTTAATCTGCTTAACTTTAAGATTTTTTAGATTAAATCTTTTGTTTACAGTTTATATTCAGATAATAAAAATGAAATAAATCAATTAAGTTATCAAGTTGAAACTTAAAAACACAAGTGAAAATGAGATAAACCAATCAAAGTTAAAAAGAAATTTAAATGAAATATAATGAGTTTAAAAAAAAAAAAAAAATTATCTAAAGCTTCATATATTTAAAATCTGAAAACAAAAAGATTTTTATCCTATTTAATAAACACTTATGCATATGTAATATTGTTATGACTTTACAAAACAGTTCATAGCCCCACTAAGACTCCAGGTCCCAGTTTTTATATAGTTTTAAAAAAATATTAATTATAAAAATAATAATACTAATATGTGCTAGGAAGGCTATTATTTTATAGTCTAAGGCCATTTAAAATATGAAATCTCTAAAAGACATATTTGTCATTTATTCAACTTAGAATTGGTTAATTTTTGTTTAGTTTGTAGTCCATAATAAGTAAATAGTTGCAAAAGGTTTAACTGAAATATACACATCAGTTCTTGCAATATTATCAGTTGATGTTATGTATATTTAACATTGAAAAAAAAAATAGATTTTATATCATTACGTTATATTATCACAATTCTACTGAAAAATAATTTTCTTAAGGTGCACTGAAAACAACTTTTTTCATTCTGTTATATTTGATCAAGATGTGCACTTAAAAATAACACAATTTTATAATTTTTGAAACATTAGGTTCATAACAAAAAGATATAGTCATAAGCTTAGAGGGAAATCTCTGATTGCCTGGACCATGCCTAGTAGCTGTTCAACATTTAAATCTTTACTCTGATTGCTAAGATTAATAAAGTTTTTTAAGTTTTTAAATTATGCTATATAGAAAATTAGAAAATATCTCAGTAACTGGAATTTTTTTTTGATTAAACTGTGTAGATTGTGGTCTTTGTTTATGTTGTTGAAACATACTATTATTTTAAACTGGTGCTCCTTATTTCTGTTGCTTCTTCAAAATTATATGTCAACAAAATGTTAATGTCCTGGTCACGTCGGTAAAGTGATTTAATATTGGGGTAGGTGAGGTTTTATGTATGTATTTAAATATGTTTTGATTTATTCTTATTATTGATAATGGCTGATGGTTAGTAATTGGTAGTTGATGGTTGGTGATTGACAATGATGATGATGACGATGACGATGATGATGATGATGATGGTGATGATGATGATGATGATGATGATGATGATGATGATGATGATGATGATGATGATGATGATGATGATGAATGATGATGATAATAACAATAACAATAATAATAATAATAATAATAATAATGATAATAATAATAATAATAATAATAATAATAATAGCAATAATAATAATAGTTGATAAAGTAGTTTAAAGCATAAAGTTTATCATTGAAGCTAATTGTTTAATATTTAGAAACAACAGAAACTTAGAAACCAATGTTCATGGTATCGAATATCTTTACACAATTGGTAAGATGTCGTTTTCTTTCTACTCACATTTACTTTGTTCTTCATTTCAAAAAATCAAAAAGCTATTGTAATTTTTTACCTAATTGATTTAATAATTCCCATGGTATTAAAAAAATTTGATCAACCAATTGGGTAAATTTTATGGTACTAAGAAGATTTGATCAACAAATAGGTTCAATAATTCATATAATGATATTAAGATCTATCAACCATTATGTTTAATGATCCTCCAAATTTTATTAACTAAACTTTAGATTTTAAAAGTCTTAGCAAAACTGTTTTTACAGATCACCTTGCAACAATTTCTGATAATGGAAAGGTTAGTTTGTTACTTAAAGAATTTTTAATTTAAAATATTTATTTTATAACAATTTATTATATTTCATAATTTTTGAATGCAATAAATTTTATATTATGTATTAGTTAGTAGTCAAATAATTTATACTAAAATATGCACTAGTCAATATTTTTTTTGTTTTTTTGTTTTTGGTTCTATTTTTAGTTAATCTATAAAATTTTTGATATTTTAATATTTGTTTAATTCACTTTTGTTTGAGTTAATTGAAAACTTAATTTATTAAATTAGCCTTTTAAAAGATTGTTTTTTTACTTTTAATGAAAATTGTTCAAAAGAGTTTTTCCTTTTTTTAGTCATATGAGGAAAAAAAAATTTTTTTTTAAATTGAAAATTTTAAAAAAAAATTTTCAATTTGAAATTGAATATTGTTTTAAAAAAATGTAAATTTTATTACATCTATTTTTTTAGTAATGTTGTAAGTTTAAACAAAAATGTCTAAGAATATGTTGCTTGCTTTTTTGTAATGCATTTTTTTACAATCAAAGTTGTAAAAAATATGTTATTTGCAGGGCCATCTCGAAGAGACTTTAAAAGGGGGTGGGGGTTGTGTGTGACATGTCTTTTTTTTGCTGACTTATGCCAAAAAAATTTTTTTTGCCCACTAACTTATCTACAAAAAAAAAAAGGTCCTTGTTTTCTGACATTTGCTGACTGCCAACTATAGATCTAATTTGGCCGACTCCAGTTCCAATTTGCTAACTAATAATATTTGTATAGGGGCTAGACACCCCTATTTCCCCTCTCTTGGGACAGCCCTGGTTGTTGGAATTAATCTTTTAAAATAATATTGAGATCTGTTGAGCTATAACTTATTCTTAAATATAGTTTTTTGAACTTTTTCTAGTCTGTCCACAATAAAACCCCTATTAAAAAGAGTTTAAAAATGACTATTCAAGAAACAATTATAAATTAAAAATGACTATTCAAGAAACAATTATAAAGACAAAATCATCAAAAAAGTCATTAAAGACCAAAATTAAATCAAAACCAGAGTTATTTTTAGGGCTTCACATCCCTTTTTTAGGGCTTCACATCCCTTTTTTAGGGCTTCACATCCTTTTTTTAGGGCTTCACATCCCTTTTTTTTAGGGCTTCACATCCTTTTTTTTAGGGCTTCACATCCCTTTTTTTTAGGGCTTCACATCCCTTTTTTTTAGGGCTTCACATCCTTTTTTTTAGGGCTTCACATCCCTTTTTTTTAGGGCTTCACATCCCTTTTTTTTAGGGCTTCACATCCCTTTTTTAGGGCTTCACATCCCTTTTTTAGGGCTTCACATCCCTTTTTTTTAGGGCTTCACATCCTTTTTTTTAGGGCTTCACATCCCTTTTTTTTAGGGCTTCACATCCCTTTTTTTTAGGGCTTCACATCCCTTTTTTAGGGCTTCACATCTTTTTTTTGTACAACCATTATTATAAAGTAGATCAAAAATATAAAATTATACAAAATATTAATAATAGATCCACTGTCATCAATTTATACATATAGATATCAAAAATAGATTCACCATATGTAAGCAATTTATACATATAAATATTAACAATAGATCCATTGTAAATGGTTTGTACAAACAAATAATAACAATAGATCCACCGTAAGCAATACATACAAATATCATGTCATATTATATAGCAGATCAGTATTGTTGCAATAACTATATCATAGATCAAATATTCAAATAATAAATGTAAAGATAAATTTTGCCAGATTTTTTTTTATTATTTATTTTTATTATTTTTATTTTGATGTTTGGATCTTGTTGTTTATGATAGAATATCGGAGAACTAAACATATCTGTAGAAGAAACAATTCGCAATGGAGAGCTTTGTTATCATGTTCATGCTCAAAGTCATGGAGAAATTGAGGGGGTTGCTATGGGAACTTCTATTATTGGTACATTTTTTAATTAAATTTTTTTCACATGTTGTTAAGATATTTTATATAAAAGTTAGCTTAATTATCTATTAAAAATAATTCAAGTTAATTAGTTGATTTTAACAAATTTAATTGTTTACAAAAAACTTTTGTTTGAACTTGAAAACTACTCACCTAGGAAAACATATATTGTATGAATAATTTTTATAAATAATATTAAAGACTTTAAATACCTCTAATTATTTAAATTCAGTATGAATAAGCAAGCCTCAACGTGAATAAATAAATGCAAAAGCGGAAAAAAGCTCTCCTAAAACGAACTTGGGGAGCTGTGCAAGGTGCTCCTCATTTAAATTGGCGCTCTTTTTTAATTCTAATTTTTTTTGCAACAACCATGTCTTTTAAAAAGCATTTCAGTATATTATGCAATTAATTTTTTTTTAATGACATAGTGTTTTTTATTTTATTTAAAATGATAATTATACTTTTATCAGAAAAATTATTCTTTTGCGAGAGCCGTAAATAGCTCTGGTAAAGCGTTTCAGGGGAGTGTGGGCAAGAGCGAGAGCTAAAGCTCTCGCTTCCCGCCACGGCCTAAATAAGGATAACATGGATAAAAAATTTAAGAATAATATATACAGCATTAATAAAAAACAACTAAACTTAAGAAATTTATGAAAGTCCTTGTTGTTTTTAGAACTATGTTGTTAAAAGCTTACTGATTGCATTTTTTTTTCCCATGCCACTTTTCCAATATCTATATTTGTGTGCATCAGCTAGACACACTAAATTGGCTATATCTCTACCTTCTGATAATCTATTTTTTTAATGTCTACATGTCCAAACTAACTTCATCTTGTAAACTTGTCTTTGCTACAAGTTGCTTGCCTTTAACACCATCATAAACACTATTTTCTGTGTGATGTAGTGAAAAAGTGTTATTCTGCAGATACCTCATGATCTTGTTTAGGGTAAAATATGTTAGATACGTTTTTATAATTTTTATATTGTGAACCCACACCATCACTAAAATAAACGGTTGAAATTAGGCAATAACTCACTTAAATGTTTTAATACTTAAAAAATAAAACAAACTTAATTGGTATTGTGTAGCAGATGATCTGAGATGACACTTTTATATTACTTTTTTATTACTTTTATATATCTCATTATCTTCCATAAAATGAATAACAAAAAAATGCAATTTTTGTAGACTGTTATTACAATAAAAATCTCCCTCTCACTGTGTCCTATTCTTTACGTCTTCTTGGATTATTGTTTACTATTGAACTTTCATTTAAACCATATATGCAATCGATTGCCAAATTAGCATCTGCTAAGGTTGCTTCTCTTTATCGTGCTCGCCATTTTCTCTCTCCTGATTCCATTATCTACCTTTACAAATCTCTTATTTGTTCCTGTATGGAATACTGTTGTCATATTTGGACTGGTTCTTCTAACGATGCTCTTTCTCTTCTAGACAAGGTCCAAAAATGCAATGTAAATGTAGTTGTAGCCGTTCTAGCTGCTAAGCTTGAGCCTCTTTTCCATTGTCGTAAAGTTGCATTGCTTTTTTTTTTCTACTAATACTATCATGGTTGCTACTCAAAGGAGCTGTCATCTCTAGTTCCATCAATTAAAACTCGTTCTTGCATGACTCATCATTCAGCTAAGTCTCACTCTTTTACTTGCATGCTCTAAAAACTTTTATTTATCTAATTCTTTTTTTAATTTATCTCTCAAAGCCCCCCCAAAAAAAAGATAGGCCTCTTCAGTTATAGAGGCTTTCTCTATATTGAGAAGGCTACTCTCTATAGTTGAATAGTTAAGAAGGCTACTCTCTGATGTTGGGGAGGCTACTTTTTTTTATTTATTTACATCTTCGCATCCAACAAGGCTGCAAGCAACCACTATAAGAGTTGGAAGTTACTGGAAGAGAAAAGATGAAGTGTGTAGAGCAAGATAACGATTGACAGACGACTTAAAAGATTGCAAATTGTATGAATCAGGAAAACAAGATGAAGGAAGCGAGTTCCTAAGAACTGATGTTCTAGTAAAAAAAAAAAAAAAAAGAGAATTTGGAGCACTTAGGAACGAATAAGAGTTTTTGGAGCACTTAGGAACAGTCACAGTAAAAGAATGAGACTTAATTTAATGACGAATAACACGAGAATGAATTTTAGTAGATGGCACAAGAGATGCTAGCTCTTTAGAGCAGTGCCCATTATAGTATTTGTAGAAAAGAGAAAGAGAAGCAACATTACGAAGATGTGATAATGGTTAGAGGTTGGCTGCAAGAGCATCAAGAAAGGGTATTATTCAAATATTGACCCCAGGTATTGCAATAGTATTCCATACAAGGATGGGTTTGAGATATATAAAGATAAAGAATAGAATCCGGAATAAGAAAGTGTTGAGCACGATAAAGAGATGCAACCTTAGCAGATGCTAATTATGCAATGGATTTGATATACGGTTTCCAAGAAAGATTTGAAGTAAGAGTTAATCCTAGAAGATGAAGAGTAAAAGACTCATCAAGTACATCACTGTTCATAAATATAGGAAGATCTAAATTATTGCAATAACAACTGGCTGAAAAAAATTGAGTTTTATTTAAATTAAAGTTCACCAGCTACTGTGAGCCCCATGCTGTAGCAAAAGTGAGATCCTTTTCAGGCTCAAATCCCCCCTCCAAACAATCAGAGAGTGTAGGCTTCTTATCATGACAAAAATTTATGGCAGTATCATCAGCGAACAATGCCACCTTAGATGTGAGAATATCTGGAAGATCGTTAATGTAAATTAAAAAGAGTATAGGGCTTAGGAATAAACCTTGAGGAACCTCTGAAGTTGCAGAATATGAAGAAGAGTGCTGTTCATCGAGAACAACTTTTATACTACGATTGGAAAGGAAGGACTCAATAATCTTAAAGATGTTATCCGATACACCGTAAGAAGAAAGTTTATGGAGAAGACCAGCATGCCAAACTTTATCAAAAGCTTTAGAAATGTCAAGAGCGATCGCCTTAACCTCTCCACCTCTATATAATGCATAATAAAACATATTATTACTGTTAGCAAATAATGATAAAATCGGTTATTACTGTTAGCAAATCAGCTGTAGAATGAGAAGATCAAAATCCATATTGATGATCATAAAGTAAGTTATTAGATTCAAGATAAGAGATTAAGTGTTTGTTAATTAAAGATTTATAAGCCTTGCTTATGATAGGAAGAGGGCTAATGGGGTGGTAGTTAGACGAGTCAGATTGCTCTCCAGAATTTTTGAAAATAGGGATAACAGATGCCACTTTCCAGCATGCCAGAAAACAAGACTCTGATAAGCACTTGTTAAATAGTTTTAAAAGTATGGATGACAGCTCTGGAGAACACTTCTACAAGACTACAACAGGTATGTTGTCTGGACCACATGCTGTAGAAGAATCTAAGTAGGAAATCACTTTAGATACAGAAGCTGGAGTGATGCAAATGTCAAGCAATAGATCAACCTGTTTGATGGCTATATCAGGTAAAATACAACTAGTGAAATCAAGAGATGATATTGATGAAAAGTTATTAGCAATCAATTCAGCTTTGTCTTTAGGTGAGGTGACAACGTCTGAAACATACAAGAGAGGTGGAATAACAGATTTGATTTTATTATTGATACTATTAAAGATTCTCCAAAAGTCACAAGAGCCTAATTTTTGTGATTAAATATGAGATTTCATTACCTGAAAATAGTGAGCTTTGGCTTTAGGCGAAATCTTTTTACAATGGTTTCTAGCAATAGTAAACAGATGTCTGTTTTCTGGAGAATTGTTTTGCTGATAGATATGGAAGTAATGGTTTCGATTGGAAATTGCAGCAACACAATGTGAGAAAAACCATGGAGAAGATTGAGGTTTGATCTAAAATCGTCGAGAGAGAATAAAAGGTTCCATGCCAGCCTAAATCCACAATTAATAATGTAAAAATAAATATGTAAGATGTACGTTTGTCAGGAGGAAGACAAAAGATTTCTACCCAAGGGCTATCACAAAGAAAATCACGGAAAGAGTCCCAGTCAGCTTTGAGGTAGTTGTAAGAGGTACAATGATAGGAGGATTTTGATGATGAAGAAGAATGAGATAATAGTTTTAGAGAGATAAAATCGTGATCAGAAGCACCTAAAGGTGAATGCGATGAAACTGAGCACTGACTAGGATCAGAAACAAACATAAATTGAGTAAAGAAGGTAAATGATTCGGTTTGTCTGCAAAGCCAGTTTTAAAGTTAACTATTTGAGTTAGAGATTGAGAAAGACAAAAGTTGTAGGTCTTAATGCCTGCAGAGTCACTGACACTAGAGCCAAGCCATTCAGTGTGATGAACAAGTCACCGACAACAACAATATTGGCTGATGGATAAAGAATGAGGGCTTGGTCAATATAATCAGAAAAAACATCAAGAAGAGTACAGTCTTGAGATGAGGGAGAGCGATATAGAACAAAGAGAAAGGTGATAGAGTGAAGTGGTGCTAAACGAAAGCACATAAAAGAGTAGTCTGTGGATTCAAACCTAGTTTCCCGACAAATCGGTGAATTCTTACGAATGTAAATGCCTAGGCCAAGCATGTGACTATTAGATTCTTTACGAATAAAAGGAAGATAAACATCAACACTAAGATCACAAGATGAGACAGCTGAACTCAAATTAGTCTCACAAAGAGCAAGTAGGTCTGGTGAACTTTGCAAGAGATAAGACTCAACTAAAGAAAAGTTACTACGAAGACCACAAATATTACTGAATGATAGGTATGGAGAACTTGGTGATGATGATGGTTTTATGTGTGTTATAGTTTTTGGTATTTTAGTCATTTTAAGTTTTTTAAAAAACTTGACGCAAAGCATAGATAGTACTCAGTATACTATTTAATAGTCTAAGCAATTTACTTATTACTATTAATAAACCCTTAGCCAAAACAAACGGCTCCAAATGTGGCCTCAACAATTTACACCAAAAGTACGAATAGGGACACCAT